AAAAGTAATTAAACATATGTTTATACGCACCATCAAAACAGATGGGGGATATATTGATTTTGTCATTCCGTTTGTAACACATCGAAATATTGATCATAGACCCATAAAAGCATATATATATTCTGGGTCCTTATTAAATTTAATACGATGTAGCCATGTCAGTCCGAACGGAACGAGCTAGAGGCTGTAGTTAAGGTTTGTTTGGTATTGAAAATGGGCAATATCGGTCCACGTTTTCTGATAGCCCCCATACAAATGGAGCTTTGACAGCTTTAACGGGCACATCTGTTTTAAAAATACTAGTATAGCGATGAAATTCAACACACATAAGTTTCAATGAATCCAAAATCTCTCTATCAAAGTTTAAGCGGATCGGTCCATAAGAAAATTACTTTAACGATCATTGCTGACTTAAAAATACGTGAACAGTTATGATATTGTATATAAGAAATATTTATAGGAAAGTAAATGTTCCTACCGAATTTCATGCGGAAAGTGTCGGGAAATGATATTCGATGTAAAGATGTTTTATATGAACCAAAACTGGTGTAGAAAATTTTATGAAAAATGGTAAAAAATAATTAACCCTATCTCTCATATGAGGTCCTCTTTAGTTATTTTAAAGAGTAATATCACCCTGATGTTTATAGGGGAGCATTCCTTTTAAGGCATACGATTTGATGGTGAATATATGAGATTCGGCTCAGCCGAATGTAACACTCTCACTTGTTAATATTTCATTTGTTAAAATGGTCCTACGAACCTACGCAAATCAACTATAAATATACATTAAACAAGGTTGTCTTCTGCTTTAAAAACTCTCTCTTTTTCCCTCTCTCTCTCTCTTCATATAATTATTATTTATCTCCGCTCCTACTCGTCTTACTTTTATTAATTTCTGTTCATATATATACTAAATTTTTTACGCTAATTTTAATCCTACTAATTTCAAACTGTGTTACTAATTTATTTTATTTTTTTTTTCAAATATTCCTTTCCAAATATTGTGTATAAAAATATTTTTTGAACACAATGTGTAACTGACTACACTAATTATTTACTCTTTTTTTTATGTAAAAAAAAACACATCCTTTCAATGTCTTTGTATTTGTATGTAGATATTTAATTAAGCTAAATAATCAATTAAAAAATTAATCAATATTTTGTGTATTTATTTTTTTGCAATTTTTCACAGGCAAACGTAGTGAGTTTCACCACAAAAACAAAAAAAAAAAGCAACGCACTTACCAATAAATAAAAAAGCTTAAGTTTTTAAAAATAAAACTTTAAATACTAATATTTTTTAAAATTTGTATAATTTATGTTTTTTTAAGTAATTAAATTGCATTTTTTCTTAATTTTCACTTTAACACTTTTTTTAGTTCGTTTGTTTGTTTGTTAATTTTCTTAATTATTTGTTTTTAAAAGCTATTTTTTAATTTTGTTGTAAAAAAGCACTAAAACACTTACTTTTTCCAAAACGGATTCCAAAAAATAACAAAAGAATACCAAAATTCCTTGCGCTTTTTTGCCAAATTTTCTTTTTAATTGTTACCCTTTTAAATGATATTTAAAGAAATTTTAACTTTTTTGTATGAAAAAAAAAAACTGAAAAAGTTCCCTTTTTTGTGGAAAATTTTACAAAATTTGATTATAATTAATTCTATATAAATTGACTATTCTATTTAAATAAAATTGAATTTTTTTAATAAAATTTAATTTTAAAACTGAAATTTATTAAAATTAAAAAAAAAATAAATTAAAACTTGGAACCTTTTCGGATTCTGCAAACTCCGAGCTTAATTTAACAACTACTGCCTATAATGTGTTTGCATTATTCGTTTAAAAAAATATAAAAAAAAATTGCAACGGTGCTAGAAATTCAACTTCAACAACTACATATATACTTGGAAAAATGCCTCACTATGACATGCATTCAAATAAAGTTGTTTTAAACGACTAAAGGAACTTCATATATCGGCCACATAATAATATAAATCGATCTGCATCTTACGGATTGAAGGCTATAAACTGCTAAACATAAAATAAAACGCTTAATATATAAAAAAAAAAATACTACGTTAATCATAAAATACAATATTCCTGAAAACATTGAACATTTTTTTAAAAACTTCTAGCTTTATACACATACATATTTTCCCAGTTTTCAAATTCCTTCATATTCAATAGTTTTTCCACGAAAATTCTTTAACTCTAGTTGTTGGTTAAATACTGCTATTGAGCTTTTAAAACTAAATGCCTGCTTTTACAATATATTTTACTTGTATTTGTAATATTGTTTCTATTGGAAATTTTACTAGTATTACTGCATAGCTTAAATGGACTCCTGACAATTGACTAAAAGTTAAAATAAACACAGTTTGAACTTTGTTTGAAATATTGCCAACCATCTCTTAGCGCAGAACCTCAACTTTTGCAAGGGATTGAAATCAAAACATATATACCCAGCAAAAATTACAGCATACTTTTCAATGACTACTACATATCGTCTAGATTACATAGAAGTAGTCTAATAAGGTATTACCAATAATGTGTTACATAAATACTTTCAAATTCATTAGTTCTCTTGTCTGTAAAGCTATAGAAGCTATACACAGAGGGAATCAAATATACACGCCTGGTACCAAATTGACACCAAATTTGTCAATAACATCCGTTGTCAAGTATATACATACATACACCAACAACATATAATGTTGACCACGCAACGGAGGGAAACAAATTTTTTTAATAACATCCGTTGTCAAGTATATACATACACACAACAACATGTAATTTTGACCACGCAACGTTGTCAACATTGCAACAATTCGTTTGTCGCAATCTAAATTTTATGCACATCCGTTGTCTTAAAGTTAACAAACGTGGTAAGCTCAAAATCCGTTGTTAAGACAATGGATGTGCATAAAATTTAGATTGCAACAACGAATTGTTGCAATGTTGACAACGTTGCGTGGTCAAAATTACATGTTGTTGTTGTACGTATGTATATACTTGACAACGGATGTTATTAAAAAATTTGGTGTCAATTTGGTACCAGGCATGTATATTTGTTTCCCTCTGTGTATACGTTTTTTTAAGCGATTTACAACGACTAATTTTTCTAATTACTTGTAAGCATTTGTGGTAAGTACTTGCCACCAATCACCGTGTTAAAATAATTACTTAAAATGCTATTGCGTAAGTAAATTTTAACATTTTAACCCCTTACATGGTAATAAAAGTTTTTGCTGGGTATTTATTATAACAGGCAAATTTTATTTTAATTTCCCAAAAAAAATATTCTTCCCTAAAGAGAAATTATTAAAATTAATGTATTCCAAAAGGAGTTAAAGGTTTCCTTCTTATAAATCAGAAATGTCCATAATAAAATCCTTTTTCTCTCCCTTTTTTTAAGCTACACCACTATAGAACGGCGGGTATTATACTATAGCACTATATATAGCACTATGGTGCTACATCCTGCTTAAATTTTGCCGATCGACTCATAATCACTTTCTGTTCGATGTACCTTGTGCTCAAGGTACAGGCCAGATATTTTCAAGATATTTTGACGAAGTCTATGGTAATTGATTGAAATATGTTCATTATCTCATCTAGCCCCCATACAAACGAACCTTCCGATTGGTAGCAACTTGTTAAATGAGGTTTTTTATGGGAGTTAGACTTAAATATGAAGCGATCCTCATAAAATTTGGTGGAGGATTTCATATTTCATAAGTCAATTATGGATGTTTAAGACATTTTCTAAAGGGGAGTTTATATAATTGAGATCTGATCATTTAAAAATCGTCAGTATCATTTATCCTTAAATGCTATTGAAATCAAATCATGCAAAATTATGTTCATATAGGTGAAATATGCAACAATATGCGCTAACAAATCAATGCCAAAAATTCTTAAATTGTTCTGCTTTGTTTATACCCATTATTTATATAACACAATTTGGTTCGTGCAACTGCCGCATCAGGCTCCTTATCAACATATCCAGTTAACCAAATTTTCCAAAACTATATTGACATTTTCTGGTTTAATTTATTTTATGGGTCTGTAGCTCTCGGCTATGATCAAAATGGCATAGCCAGTAGCATATGCCTAAAAAATGAGCCACTCGAAAACCTCTTCAAACTTTCAATCTCTATGGATGCATTGGCTTCTCAATGATATCGTTCAAGTTTTACTATCCCCAAACAATTATCGTGTAATGATTATTTGTAATTGTAATTGATTGATTGTTATTGGATATTGCTCAATTGTACATTGCATGAAATTGTAACCGGCAAAACTTCAATTACAAGTAATTGTAATTGGAAAAGCTTCAATTACAGCAAAGATGTCCGCTGTAAGCTTTAAGTATTTTCCAATGCCTACACTAAGGCCCGTAATCTCAATCTCCGGTTATCGTTTAACCGGTAGATATTCAGCCGGTTAAAATAATTTTTTTATGAAAACTGTCAATATATCGTTACGATAAAAAATAACAAGACATTGAGAAAATGGTGGTTAGTGTATAAAGTGAATAATATACCACTGTACTATAATTATAATTTCCTTCTTCGAACATCTCTTGACCTTAAATATTGGAATATTATTCCAAGTCCAACAATTAATTACAATTAACAATAATAACTATTTTAATCATTGTTAAACAATTGCATTCGACGAACTCTATTAATTACTCCTTGAAATATTAAACAAAACTTATTTTTACCATTTTAAAAAATATACCCTAACAATAAACAGCTTTTTTTGCAAACTTTTACTTAGAATAAATGTTGCCAACATAACAATAACAACTATAATTTGAAACAATATTATAACTACAAGTACCAATGTAATTGCTATTATGGTAACTATTACTTTTGAAATTTCCTTGAGAAACAAATATAAACAATTGCAAGTATATTATTACTACTAAATATTGCCATAATACAACAAAAACTAAAAAAACAATAGACTTAATATTACTCTAATGCCAGCAAAAGAAAGCAACTGCAGAAACTTCATCATATATACAAAACAAACATATGAATTCCTTTCCTTCCTAAACTTTCTGACTCTCATGAACACCAACAACGGTTGTAAGCCTCTTTATGCCTATAATTATACTATTATTTTTACATATTTTATATAAATAAAAAATACTCTATTTGTGTATGTATGTATGTGTAATAATAACCAACAATTAACGTTACTATTTTCATATATTTATTTTCAAAACAAAACGAAATGAAATAATCAAATAACAACAACTTTTGTAAAATAACAAATAAATTAAATAAACTACGTAAACTTTTCATTATTTGAACTCTGTACAAAACGTGATTGAATTGTACAAAAATGTATTAAAATGCAAAATAAATAATAACAAACAAAAAAAAACAACTCTCGTCATGGTCAATAAAAATACATCAACAAAAACCATCAATGAATAAATATGAAAAAAAAAAATACGCCACAAATATGAACTGTCAACATACAACTTGCTACATGCGATTAAAAATAATTTTTTAAAAAATGTCACATCTGTACTTAACACATTTGGCATATTTTTGTAAAAATGTGTGTGTAACACTCAATCTCTCTGTGTATGTGTCCTAATGCGCGCCTTTAAATCCAAAATGACAAAACAAATCAACGCCAACAATTTGAATATTAAATAAAAATCAAATCATCAAATCTAAATCAATAACAAAAATAATAACAATTTTTTTTATCCAAACTCAATAATATTAAACCAAATATTTTGTAAGTAAATATTAGTTTTGTATAATAATTTTTTAAGTAGTTTGTTTTATACAAAAATCACCAAAGAAAGAAAAAATCCAAATCTCCTGTTTGTATAAAAATCTACCAGCAAGAAACTTTTTTAATTTTTGAAAACCTTTTCCTTTTGAAAGTAGAATGTAGCATTTTTATTGTATTAAAAATTTGTTGTTTTTTTTTCATTATAAATATTTGTATATATTTTATAGAATTTTAGATAATGCCTTCAATCTATAAATATAATTTTTGTTAAATAGTTTTTATTACTTTATAATTTGTTTATTAAAATGTAAATATTTTAATAAATCAAATAGTTTTGTTTATGTGACAAAAATCATTAAAATTTATTATAAATGTTTAATGTCAATTTGGTGATCGTCAAAGCAATTTTCGCCGATTTTTCTTTTTTTAATTTATAAATATATAAAGTTTGACGTGAATGGAAAAATATATTAAAACTAAGATAAATCGAAATAAATATAAATATTTAGAAAATCTGATTATAGAAATGTATTAAACAAAACTAAAATTGTTAATATTTTTTAAATTGAAAGGTTACATATTATATAATGTTATAAATTTACTCGCGATGGTCCAAAGAAACAATTTATAGCCTTTCATTAGCAAGAGAATCTTTCCACTTTGTTGTTTAGAGAACTGATGTAGCGCTTTAATAGACTACATAACTATTCAGACTATAAACTACACTATAGTCTAGATTATAGTCCATACTAGACTATAGTCTAAACTATAGGCTAGACTTAAGTCCAGACAGTAGAAAAGACTATAGTCCAAACTGTTAACTATAACCTAGTTCAGAATATAGACTCGACTATAGCCCAGACTATAGACTAGTACATAACTAATACAATGGGCCAGAATATAGTCGAGATTATAAACTAGACCAAAAACCAGACTAAGGACTACAGTATAGAACAATATAGAACTATACTATAGAATAGGTTATAGTCCCTACTATAAACTAGACTATAGACTAGACTGTAGACTAGACTATAGACTAGAGTATAGACTAGACTAAAGACTAGACTATGGACTAGACTATAGACTATAGACTAGACTATAGACTAGACTATAGACTAGACTATAGACTAGACTATAGACTAGACTATAGACTAGACTAGACTAGACTATAGACTAGACTATAGACTAGACTAGACTAGACTATAGACTATAGACTAGACTAGACTATAGACTAGACTATAGACTAGACTATAGACTAGACTATAGACTAGACTATAGACTAACTAGACTATAGACTAGACTATAGACTAGACTATAGACTAGACTATAGGACTAGACTATAGACTAGACTATAGACTAGACTATAGACTAGACTATAGACTAGACTATAGACTAGACTATAGACTAGACTATAGACTAGACTATAGACTAGACTATAGACTAGACTATAGACTAGACTATAGACTAGACTATAGACTAGACTATAGACTAGACTATAGACTAGACTATAGACTAGACTATAGACTAGACTATAGACTAGACTATAAGACTAGACTATAGACTAGACTATAGACTAGACTATAGACTAGACTATAGACTAGACTATAGACTAGACTATAGACTAGACTATAGACTAGACTATAGACTAGACTATAGACTAGACTATAGACTAGACTATAGACTAGACTATAGACTAGACTATAGACTAGACTATAGACTAGACTATAGACTAGACTATAGACTAGACTATAGACTAGACTATAGACTAGACTATAGACTAGACTATAGACTAGACTATAGACTAGACTATAGACTAGACTATAGACTAGACTATAGACTAGACTATAGACTAGACTATAGACTAGACTATAGACTAGACTATAGACTAGACTATAGACTAGACTATAGACTAGACTATAGACTAGACTATAGACTAGACTATAGACTAGACTATAGACTAGACTATAGACTAGACTATAGACTAGACTATAGACTAGACTATAGACTAGACTATAGACTAGACTATAGACTAGACTATAGACTAGACTATAGACTAGACTATAGACTAGACTATAGACTAGACTATAGACTAGACTATAGACTAGACTATAGACTAGACTATAGACTAGACTATAGACTAGACTATAGACTAGACTATAGACTAGACTATAGACTAGACTATAGACTAGACTATAGACTAGACTATAGACTAGACTATAGACTAGACTATAGACTAGACTATAGACTATAGACTAGACTATAGACTAGACTATAGACTAGACTATAGACTAGACTATAGACTAGACTATAGACTAGACTATAGACTAGACTATAGACTAGACTATAGACTAGACTATAGACTAGACTATAGACTAGACTATAGACTAGACTATAGACTAGACTATAGACTAGACTATAGACTAGACTATAGACTAGACTATAGACTAGACTATAGACTAGACTATAGACTAGACTATAGACTAGACTATAGACTAGACTATAGACTATAGACTAGACTATAGACTAGACTATAGACTAGACTATAGACTAGACTATAGACTAGACTATAGACTAGACTATAGACTAGACTATAGACTAGACTATAGACTAGACTATAGACTAGACTATAGACTAGACTATAGACTAGACTATAGACTAGACTATAGACTAGACTATAGACTAGACTATAGACTAGACTATAGACTAGACTATAGACTAGACTATAGACTAGACTATAGACTAGACTATAGACTAGACTATAGACTAGACTATAGACTAGACTATAGACTAGACTATAGACTAGACTATAGACTAGACTATAGACTAGACTATAGACTAGACTATAGACTAGACTATAGACTAGACTATAGACTAGAATATAGACTAGACTATAGACTAGACTATAGACTAGACATAGACTAGCTATAGACTGACTATAGACTAGACTATAGACTAGATATAGACTAGACTATAGACTAGACTATAGACTAGACTATAGACTAGACTATAGACTAGACTAGACTAGACTAGACTATAGACTAGACTATAGACTAGACTATAGACTAGACTATAGACTAGACTATAGACTAGACTATAGACTAGACTATAGACTAGACTATAGACTAGGACTATAGACTAGACTATAGACTAGACTATAGACTAGACTATAGAACTAGACTATAGACTAGACTATAGACTAGACTATAGACTAGACTATAGACTAGACTATAGACTAGACTATAGACTAGACTATAGACTTAGACTATAGACTAGACTATAGACTAGACTATAGACTAGACTATTGGACTAGACTAGTACACTAGACTATTAACTAGACCATAGATTAGACTATAGACTAGACTATAAACTAGACTATAGACAAGACTGGATTATACTATATACTAGATTAGATTAGACTAGACTAGACTAGACTAGACTAGACTAGACTAGACTAGACTAGACTAGACTAGACTAGACTAGACTAGACTAGACTAGACTAGACTAGACGAGACTAGACTAGACTAGACTAGACTAGGCTAGACTAGACTAGACTAGACTAGACCAGACTAGACTAAACTAGACTAGACTAGATTGGACTAGACTAGACTAGACTATAGGCTAGATACTAGTCTAGACTATGCACTGGACTATAGTCCAGACTAAAAACTTGATTATAATAGACTAGAATATAATAATTGGCAAACTATACAGACTAGACGGCAGTCCAGACTATAGTCTAGACTATTGTTCAGACTATAGACCAGACTATGGACTAAACTATAGTCCGGGCTATAGACTTGACTATAATCCAGACTATAGACTTGACTATAATTCAGAATATAGTCCAGGTTATAGACTATACTATAGTAAAGACTATATACATTAGACTATACTATAATCCAGAATATAGACTATACTATAGTCCGATAATAGACTATACAGAATATAGACTATACTATAGTCCGACAATAGACTATATAGACTTGACTATAGTCCACATTATAGACTATTAAGAGTATTGTCAGGTTATAGACAATACTATCATCCAGACTATAAACTAGACTGTATCTCTTTAGGACATGACTATAGTCCTGACTATGGACTAGACAATAAACTATAACCTAAAATAGGCTATAGTCAAGACTATATACTATATTTTTTGAAACTTTCAAATTCAATTCCGACAATTATTGGATTTTGTGACAACCGCCTATACCACAATTTAAAATATTTATATACTGTACTATAAACCAGACTATTGACAATACTATAGTCCTGAATATACATTTGTACATATTTATATTAGACTATTGTCCAAGCTATAGACTAGACTATACTCTAGGCTATAAACTAGACTGTAACCCAGGCTAACAACTAGGCTATAATTCATCTAAAAAAATGAGAAATGTGGCATAAAATTATATAATTGTAAATGTTTAAATTATAAAAATTTGTTAGTTTTTGTTTTTCTTGGTGGCGAATGATTTATATTTAATTCATGTGAACAAGATATGTTTATCATACGCAATGTTGTTTACTCATAAACCAAATTAGAATTTTATCCAAAGTTTTCTATAAAAAAAAAATATAATGGAACATAAATTCAAATGTTTCAATAAATATAATATGTTACCTATTTCTTTTATCTAGCAAAACCTATAAATTTAATATCTTCAATATTTAAATTAAAAACTAAACTCTATAAATTTTTGTTTATAAATTCACATGTCGCATAAAAATCTATGGATGCATAAACAAATAAATGAAAAATATTTGAAAATAAAACTAGAAAAACCATTTATATTTTAGTCGCGAGTTTGGACATTTAAATTTTCTAGCAATAAATAACAAACGAATATAAAAAATCTAAAAGAAACTAACTGAACTTTTAATAATTGAAAATACACTGTAAAAAATTATAACCTAAAGCTGCTTAAGCTTCAAATCTTACTCCTCTGTAAGCTGTTAGCAAATATAATCTGAGAAAACTATTTAAAATTGAGTACCTTGTTGTTCTCTCAGTGTTTGTGTATTAAAAATGTCAACAAAAGCAAAACAACAACAAGAACTCAATTGTTAACAGTTTTTGTATTTTGTTTAGCAAGGAGCCTAGAACAGCAATACCTGTTCTACTCTTATTTTCTTTTTGTGTTGTTGCCATATTTTTGCATATTTTTTAATTCGCTTGCATATTCTTTATTTTGCCTGTCTTTGTATATAAATATGAAATTTATGTTGTTGTTGTTTTTGTTTGCTTTTATATGTTGTATATATTATTTATTTACTTATTTATTTATGTATGTATGTGTGCTTTATATTCCTTGTATATATTTATTTATATGTATAATTTTTTGTGTTTGCTTTACTTGTGTATAACTTTTATTTTTCATTAATATTATTTATTTAATTTTTAGTTTTATTTTTTATTTCTTTGGGTTGTAAATTTTCTTTAATATTGTCGGAATTTTCTTACTATTTTTAACTTTAGTTTAATGAAATTTGAAACAATTTATTAAACAATAAGACAATTTTGTGTTAATTGTATTGTTTTACTTCATTTCGAAATTTTTTATTAAATCACATACAAACACTTCTCTACCCTCTACAAAACCAAAACAAAACAAATAGACGATGAATTGGCAGGACTTATCCAGGAGGCTGAAAATAAAGCACCCGAGGAATTAACGGAAGAAGACAAAATGGCTCTACTGGGACGTCCCAAAAATGGTGATATTGTACGCGCACAATTGCGTATTAAAGAAAGTAAAGAATTTAAGGTGAGTGTTTTTAACATTATTTTGTTTTTAAAGTGAACATATTTTTTTAATGTATTTTTAATACTCATTAAACTTAGTTTAAGATTTAGGAATATTTAAATTGTTTGTAAACAATTTGTGCCACAGTTCAAACACTTTTTTTATTTTAACTGTCTACGACTTTCAGCTATAGAAACAATAAAAATATTTAAAAGAAATTATCAAAATTATTCTTTAACCTTGAATATGAATTAACTTTTTGTTCAGACTAATGACCACACTTTAAACTTTACTAGATAAAAATCCTGACTATATACTAGAAAATAGACCGACTGTATCCTAGTTTATAAAACAAACTAAATAATAGACTATGGACTTCACAAGATAATAATCTAGGCTATAGGCTAGATAATATTCTGAATTATTGTCTCGAATTTAGTTCAGTTTTTTTGACTTTACAATATCGCAGACTATAGACTATTTGTATAAAAGTCCCCACAACAAGCTACTTTATAAATAAGGCCATTTGCTATTAGATTTAAGTTTTAGTCTGCAGTTCAGACTAAAGACCAGTCTACGGACTTGACTATATAATAATCAATAGTTCAATGTTCTAAAATATAGATTTTATATTTGTACAGAATAAAGATTTCACTATAGACTAGACTATAGTCCAAACTAAATAATAAAATCCAGAGTTTAAAATAAACTATAGGTCAGACTAGACAATAGTCCAGTCTATATTCTAGTTCATAGTCTAAGCTTAAGACCAGGCTATGAACTTGTCTAGACAATAATCTAGACAATAGACTAGAGAGTAGCCCTATTAGTGTAGTCTACAGACCAGACTAAAGCTAAAGCTTTGGACTTGAAAAGAGATTGATTTGGCTTTAGACCAGTTTTATACAGTCCAGATTAAAGTATAGAGGAAGAGTAGCCTATAGCCTAGATCATAAACTATACTATAATCCAAATTATAGACTAGACCCACATTATAGACTAGACTATAGTCCAGACTATAGACTAGACTAAAATCAATATTATTTTCCAAACTATAAAATAGACTAAAGGCCAGTCTGCAAAATAGACTTTATACCAGTCTATAGAAGAGACTATAGTTCAGGCTTTAGAAAGTCTATGGAATAGCCTATAGTCCAGACTATAGACCAAGACTATAGAATAGACTATAACCCATACTATTGAATAGAATATAGTTCGTACTATAAAATAGACTATGGTCCAAGACTACAGAATTGACTCTAGTCCAGACCATAAAAAGACTATAGTCTAGATTATAGAATAAACTATAGTCCAGACTATAGAATAGACTATAGTCCAGACTATAGAATAAACTATAGTCCAGACTATAGAATAGACTATAGTCCAGACTATAGAATAGACTATAGTCCAGACTATAGAATAGACTATAGTCCAGACTATAGAATAGACTATAGTCCAGACTATAGAATAGACTATGGAATAGACTATAGTCCAGACTGTAGAATAGACTATAGTCCAGACTATAGAATAGACTATAGTCCAGACTATAGAATAGACTCTAGTCCAGACTATAGAATAGACTATAGTCCAGACTATAGAATAGACTCTAGTCCAGACTATAGAATAGACTCTAGTTCAGACTATAGAATAGACTATATTCTACAGAAGACTATAGAATAGACTCTAGTCCAGACTATAGAATAGACTCTTGTTCAGACTATAGAATAGACTATAGTCCAGACTACAGAATAGAATATAGAATAGATTCTAGTCCAGACTATAGAATATACTCTAGTTCAGACTATAGATTAGACTTTAGTCCAGACTATAGAATAGACTATAGTCCAGACTATAGAAAAGACTATAGTCCAGGCTATATAATAGACTATAGTCCACATTATAGAATATACTATAGTCCACATTATAGAATATACTATAGTCCATATTATAGAATAGTCCAGACTATGGAATAGACAGACTATAGACTAGGCTATAATCAAGACTACGGGCTAGACTAAAGTCTAGACTATAGTTCAGAATATGGCCTATAATGTAGAGTAGACTATAGTCAGTCTGTAGACTAAATAATAATCTGGAATATAACTTATGTAATAATGTAAACCATATACAAAGTAATACTTCATATAGGCTAGACCATAGTGCAAACTATTGACTAGACTTGTGTCTCAATTTAGTTCTGGCTATAGACTGGGTAATAATACCTGATAAATAAACCAAATGTTAATTTCGTCCTTTAATTATTTACAACATGTCGTATAATAGATATATTCATCATTTCAATTCAATATCAATTATACTCCTTGACTCATGTAAATATTATGATTGAAGTTGATGGATTTTTAAAACTAATGACATTTTATTCTGTCATTAGCAGTAACTGCAACAAAAAGCAAAAGTTACAGTTACAGTTCTCTAAAACTTTTTAAACTTTGTTAATAGAAAAAAAAACCATCGGGTAACATTAAAAATTTTAAAAATAACAAATTATAGAAATTTTGGAGTAGTACCAGGGAAACGTCAAAAGTATATATAGAGATCATGTGATCTCTATATATGTACAACATACAATTTAGTAACATTTTAAACTTTTTCCTAATTTCTGAATAACAAACAAACTAAGGAATTTTGTGTCAAGTAATTATTCCATTTTAAATAAAAAGTAACGACACACACCACGAACAAAAACAAACACCATTCAAATACTTGCCAGTGTTAAGTATGAAGAGCATAAAAGTTAAAAGTTAATTAAACGGATGAGGTACTTTTAGATGCAGAAAAAGCAACAAAAAAACACAACCATACAAAAAAGATGCTAAATTTCAAAGAGTCATACGAACTAAGAAAAAAAGTCCGTGTATATAAAACGACATAGAAAAATTGCAAAAATGTTGTTTTTTTTTTTCTTTTTCATTCAAGCTTTTTGTCATTATTAAGTATTTTATTTGAAGTAATACACAAAAAGCACAACAGCAACAACTTTATACAGAAAGGCAACAAAACAACAAAGTTATACATACAACATTTATGTACATGAGTGTAGTTATTAGAGTGGTCCATTGTGGTATAAAAAGTACCGGGAATTTCAAATAAATACACATATCTCAACTTAAAGTTATATATCGATTTCATATTTGTAATCTTATGTTAACATTTTATTATGTTTATTGTTATAATTCTATATAATTTTCTTTAAAACAAGTCTAACACAGTAAACTATATGGGAACCACTCTAATATTTTTACTAAAAACATAATCGGTTTTATAGTCTGACAACTTTTTTAAATGTAGAAGTTTATATTCAAACCACACAATTTCCATAGTAATTGAATAGACTACGGGGAAAATAAATTACACAAAAAAATCTTTAAAAAATTTCAAACATAGTAATTAAGTTTTGTCTACACAGTGGGTTGGTATACATCTTGGTATGTTGCAAATTCACAAGGGACTTAATGCTACAGATAAAAATAAACATGAATAATGAAATTGTTAATGTTGGAAAATGTCCATACATATAATCTACAACTACTATTGAAAAAACCTTGTCTTGGATTTAAAACTTTGATTTCAGATCATAGGGTGCTCAAGTTCAATATTTACAAATTCCATCAGTTATCATCAGAAACTAATATCTGACGTAAACAACATACTAAAGAAAAAATCCAAATAATTTTAATAAAAATACTCATTATTGCTTACTTTTACTTTAAGCAACACTGTACTCAATTAGCAAAGGATAAAGAGTAAAAGAGAAGTTTTGCAACAAAAGGAAAATTAAAAATAAATGCTTACGCAAAAAAAAACGAAAACACTCAACTGCTTTTGTGCTAAAACACAGTTGGTTAAATACAAAACACTTTTATTTTCTCTGGGAAAACAAAACAACAATATGTACAACAAAAATCCTAAACAGCAACAATAACAACTAGTAAACTACTATACTGAGGGGAAAGTGTTAATGCAAAAATAGTGTACTAAAAAGAAAAGTTTTCTTTTTCACAAAACAAAAACTTTATTTTATTTCAAATTTAATTGAACGTATAAAAAAACTTACTTTAGCTAATGCGTTTCTACTCTTTTTAAGTTTTATTTAATGATATTAAGTCATTAAATTTAAATTTTGGCTAAAGAAGATTGCAGTTCAGTCATGCATTTATATATGGCTCATGCCAATTTCCAAAAAAAAAAAAAAAAAACTTTTTTGGTTATTATAGAGTTGGTGCTTTCTCCTCTATTTTTAAAACTTATTTCAATGAAGATTTAACGAAAAATAAATCTAAAGGTATTCTTCGTAATTTTTCTGGTAATACTTCAAAAGCTTATTACTGCTGTGTACTGTAGTTCATAGTTTGAACTGTACTGTAATGTTTGGACTGTAATCCAGTCTATAGTCTAAGATGTACTCTAGTCTATAGTCTAGTCTATAGTCTAGTCTATAGTCTAGTCTATAGTCTAGTCTATAGTCTAGTCTATAGTCTAGTCTATAGTCTAGTCTATAGTCTAGTCTATAGTCTAGTCTATAGTCTATAGTCTAGTCTATAGTCTAGTCTATAGTCTAGTCTATAGTCTAGTCTATAGTCTAGTCTATAGTCTAGTCTATAGTCTAGTCTATAGTCTAGTCTATAGTCTAGTCTATAGTCTAGTCTATAGTCTAGTCTATAGTCTAGTCTATAGTCTAGTCTATAGTCTAGTCTATAGTCTAGTCTATAGTCTAGTCTATAGTCTAGTCTATAGTCTAGTCTATAGTCTAGTCTATAGTCTAGTCTATAGTCTAGTCTATAGTCTAGTCTATAGTCTAGTCTATAGTCTAGTCTATAGTCTAGTCTATAGTCTAGTCTATAGTCTAGTCTATAGTCTAGTCTATAGTCTAGTCTATAGTCTAGTCTATAGTCTAGTCTATAGTCTAGTCTATAGTCTAGTCTATAGTCTAGTCTATAGTCTAGTCTATAGTCTAGTCTATAGTCTAGTCTATAGTCTAGTCTATAGTCTAGTCTATAGTCTAGTCTATAGTCTAGTCTATAGTCTAGTCTATAGTCTAGTCTATAGTCTAG